CCCCGATTAGGTCACACATGACTTTTTTCAGATTTGAGGAAAATCTTCAAAATGGTCTGTCGTTTGAAAGGGATCACGATGCCCCGTTTATCTACCAAATGATAAACCACACACACATTCTGAAATTGAGACCCCACATCACATCACCCATATCCATGTTTGATTTATCCTCTTTCATTACCTCCTCTGGTTTCGTGGGAGAGCATGAGCTGTAGATCCATTCTTCTTAAGCCCAGTTCAGAGGACTCTTTGGTGGATTTAAATCTTACAAGGTGCAGTCATGATGCATTACAACCTAGGCACCCATGTTTAATTCATATTGATTAGATGGCTACTATTATACTATCCAAGGGGTTTCATTCTTGACCCTTAGATGCATAAGTGGGTCTTTTTTGACCCGGTGAGGTGGTTTTCTTAGAGTATCTTTGTAATTAAAACATTTTATCATTTCATATTCCAGCTATTCCTCAAAAAACATGTTTTGGATATCATGCCATTCAAACATTGTATTTACATTTTAAGAAATTGTAGTTTTTGTATTTCTACCCCAAGCTTCCATAAGTGGGTAAAAAATGACCCGCATGCATTTTCTATAGAATTTTTTTTTTTCAAAATGTAAAAATAATGTCTAAAATTATAAATAGTGAACAATTAAACATAAAATATTTTAAGTGTGAACCAAAATATAATACTAAGTATTATACAAGTGATTTTTCTTAACCAAAATGACAAAATTCGCATAAAAACACATATTATTCTATAAGGGTCCTTTTTGACCTACTTACTGTATGGAAGAGTAGGGTCCAGTCACTCGTGCATCTAAGGGTTAAAGAAACCTTTGATGTTGATCATAATCTTTAAATTATCACAAATTCATTTTTTTTGTCGTGCTGTATGCTCTGCTTGTATTGGCAATAAATCCATAAAATATCTAAAACTACAACACCTGAATAAATGGGCTTCTACCAACAGCTTTCCTCTCTTCATATCGGTAGCAGACCAGCATCAGTAATACACGCTTCTACAGTAAGTTAGCCTTGTAATGGCTGCCTGCCCTGAAGTCCATTTAAACCAAGTTATTCCCTTCATGATTGATTTCATTCTCCCCTGCTGTGGCAGTGCTCCTTACTACCAGACTCTTTACCAATCCTCTGACAAAACTGAAATCTTTCATCACTGAAATCACTTGAGCATAAATAAAAGAAAAAAAGGAAGATCCTCCCTACGGCTCCTGTTCAGCGCCATAATGTATTGATCAAACAAACCCCCTCTGGAATCTTTCTTACAGTATTCTTTTTACATCATTTTTATGCCAAGAACATTCACCTTTTGCCTGCCCACCCAATAAGGATGCCATCCTTATGACTTGCCTGGTTAATGAAGATAAAACAAAACAAATACAATCCCGAAATAATTAATTTTAAATACTGTAAAGTGAGTCTTTTTGATGAGAAATGAAACAAATTGATGTCACATTGTTGAATGTAATAGATAGGAAGCAGTATCCATTTTGGATGCTACATTGAAGACATCTCCAACTAAACTTCAACATCGGTTTTATCATCGATTTGATCAATTACACAAGACACTAAAAATAAAACAGAAGTCCATGACTATGATTTTTAACTTTGGATCGGTGTGTTTGGCTTCTCGGGTCAAGTTTTCGCTGAAAGGCTACAGGTTTCCAACTGCAGCCCCTCCATCCACTGCTTTACACCAAACTTGTACAGACTGCCTCAAAACACCAGGGCCTCTATTAGCATTGGTTTGAATCTCAGAAATTGCCCAAGAAACTTTTAACGGGCTTAGTATTTTAAGAATAGTATTTTAAGAAAATTAATTTTAAGAAAGTGGGTTCTGATAGACCCATTTAACTAATTGGATTTTATTTTGTGGCATTTATGTAAAAGAAGCAAAACAACAGTGGTGAAGTTGAATAAGCTAAATGCCCAAAGAACCCCGGCGACCACAAAACACCTCGTATCCATCACACGGTCTTTCAGACTCTGAGCCGCAGAGAGAGTCCAGACAGCTTGTTGACAGATCATAGACACTTCAAAGGTACTGCAACACAGATCAAGATGGTATGATAAACCAGTTTGTCCCAGTTGTCCTCATACTGTTTGCAACAGTACGGGCAGCTGCAATACGTACTTCAAGTAAAAAGAACTTTCGGATTGCTGCACATATCAATTTCAGATCCCCTCCAGTCAAATAAATCAACTGAATATAGTTACTTAGTCACTCCAAGGTCAGTTGCATTTTTGTAGATGATTTTATTTGCCAAGTTTGAGAGAGAAGACAGAATATTTCTTTAAGGATGAGCATATTAATAACAGAAGAAAACATTCAGATTGAGATTGGATTTTACAACACACATTGTCATATAGCTATGAGAGTTAAGCACTGTGGGTAAAACACATACATAAAGAAATCAATCTTATTTACTGATGACTTGTTGACTTAAGTTTGACTTACGTAAGTTTGTGTTGTTCAGTTTCAAAGCTAAAGTCCCAGGTTATTACATCTAAAGGTATCTGTGGAACACGATACAATTTCATACGGATGTCATTATGTTTTATGAAAGACTAAACACTCTATTTAATCGAACCCTTTTGGATATGTTAGAATGTCAGCCCAAATAACCTTCAACCAAATATTTCCCTCCTGTTATGATGAAGTGTGTTCAGTTTCACATAATACACGTTGAAAAGGAACAGTAAGAGATAACATAAAAAGCTTTGAATTGTGTGTGCTGAAGTGGTGAAGGTGGTGGAGGAGCACGCTTCCTATTCCTCTGTTTTCCTGCAGACAAGTGTGAGTGTGACAAATGTTCATTAAATCCCTGCTTTGTTTGTGATGCTGTTATTGAAAAAGAGCCAAGGACAGTCACCTTGATGCTACAATGAGCATTCCACTGCTGCAGGAAGATGTTTGGTTCCCTCTGAGTTTGCTACTGTATAGGTAAATATCATTATGGGTATGTGCGTTATTACAAAGGAAGCCTTATGCTGAGTGAAGGTGTCTTTTGAAATGAGGTTGAAAAAAAGAAACATTTTACCACATAAATCTTCTCATCTCTTAATCCAGTCATATACACTGATTCAACTCAACGATGCGCCGGTGAAGATGGCCGCATTGTCTTTGGCTTATACTATATTTTAATATTGTTTTAATATTGTCTGCTTATCTGTATTATTGTGTTGCATTGTTGGAGAAGCCTGTGACCTAAGATTTTCAACGACATAATTACTCTGTGGCTATGTTAGTTTGACAATAAAGAACCTTGAACCTGATTCAACCTTTAGGAAATGTCTAGATGTTTTGATGCTCTCCTACTGAACACTTTCTTTAACTTTACTTCATACTCTTTACTCCCTTTTAAAAGGCCACCCCCTGTTGCTGTTCGGTTGCTTAAACATTAAAGGAGCCATATTATGCTAATTTTCAGGTTCACATTTTTCTTTTACAAATGAAGCTCAGCGCAAGTTCTTTCAGGAAGACTGGTATATACATTCAGTCCGCAGCTGCTTATAATCAGCTCATCACGGGCGTTGTCTTTAACCTATTACATTCACCTCATTCTCCAGCAGCCAATCACTGTGCTGCAGCCACACCTTAAAATGGTTCTCCTCTCTCCTGCAGTCAGCTGTGATTTCAGGTGTTCATGCTGCCGCCCGCCTCCTCCCCATCCACCTCCTTTCATCATACCCAGTGCCAGGAGAGCTAATCCAAAGACCTCCTCTTCATCCCATCTCCTCATCAAATCCAGATCTTCAGCATCATCACCAGTGTCTAGACCCCGGGGGGTTCCCTATATGCTCACGGCTGCATTTCCCCCTTTAGATATACGATTTCAGGATTGGGTCTAATCGACAAAGACTTAATCATTTATCATATGACATGTGTCAATAAATGTTCTTTAAACAAAATGAAGTCTCTCCTGATTGAACCCCCATAATAAATACCATTTACATGCACAAAAACCTATATAACACACAGGAAGGAACGACTCAAAAAGCATGATAGGGCCCCTTTAAAAACCAAACCCACAATTTCAACCCCTGAGTCGTATTATCCACACTTTGCAGAGTAATGTGTGAAACCAGGACCAGGCATTGCGAGCAGATCAATTGCCGTTTACATGCCAAAATTGTGCTGGATAAATAAAAAAAACCATCTCTTGGACAGGACCCAGGAAGCTTACTGAACACATGTTTGTCATTAGTGTACTTGAGTGTATACAAATGTCCGTTAATAGATCAATTAAGAGCCATATGTTTTAATTTACTTGGTTTCAGGCTGGATGTTTTGTTTTTTTCTTGCAAAACTCGATCAAAAGTGCACATTTACAATTGCACATGTGTCGTTTAGGAGATAACTAAGATTTCTTTCTACAGACGACGTGTTTATCAAAGAAGACGCATCCGTTTAGCTGCGATGGGATCAGCGAGTGTTATCTGGTTGAGGGGAGTTTCCATTCGTAACCAGGAAACGCTGGTTTCCTATAAAGGAATTCTGGGATGCAAAGTCTTTCCTGTCCTTGGAAGCCAGTGGAGCTGAGTGACAAGATGCTTTTATTGTTGGAAAATAAAAGCCCTAATAAAACAGATATGTCACTGCCAGAGGGAAATTACACTGGCATTTTAATAAACTACTGAGGCAACCATTTTATATCTCAATCCCTATGTATTTTATACGTTTCCTAAAATCTTGATAATGTTTTGAGAACAGGCTTCAGAGAAATGATAACAGCAGATTAAACTCATTTGTTATTTTGTGTGAAAAATGTCACATCTAATCTGACAGCAGTATTTATAAATCCTTTCTTCACCTATGGTTGTTTATTCTCCTGTGGCTCAGTGTCGTGTGATTTGTGTCACCTATGTGTGTTATCGTGAAGGATTATCTCTCATCTTGATTTCTGTCCTCTCCCTCTCCTCCCTCCCTCCATCCTCCCCCCTTCCTCCCTCTCTCCCTCTCTCTTCCCCTCTCTGTAGCCTGCACGGATCTGCTGCCCCCCGGCAGAGACAGGAAGCCCAATGCTTTGGTCCAGGTGTCTGTCATAGATCCCCACAAGCAGCTCCTCGTCTCTCATGCCTGCACAGAGATAGTGGAGGTAAGGCCGCACACACACTTGCACAGACACACACACACACACACACACACACACACACACACACACACACACACACACCTTCCTCTCTTTGCTTGACCTTTGATGTTTGTTGTTTTGCTGTCTCTCTGGGTCACTGGTTCTCAGTCTGCCCTTCTTTTTCGAAACCTTTTTTTCCGCATCTGACTCATTGAACTGGGACACACGATGAGCTATAACTTTCTTTTTCCTGGCACATTTAAAACAGTTGATGTGTGCCTCTCAACCAGTCTCATATCCAGGGGTGTAGTGCTGCTGGTTTGTTTTAGTACTGGAGTTTACCTGTGACTTGCACTCTGTTTAGTTTTGGCCCTGCATGAGAATCAGGAAATCAGTCTGAAGGAATGTTTCAATGACTGAAGGTGATGTTTACAGTGTCTGCTCCTCACAGTTGCTGTAGTATGAAAAGCTTCTCCTTTTGCAACATGTGCTTCTGTGCGCAGATGGCCACAACTCAACCCTACAGGACCATACAAACATCAGATTGGCCAGTTATAAAAATATATATTTATATGATGGAGAAACATCCGCTTCTGATCTTATATCATCATACAAACGGTTTCTCCGAAATGTATTTATGTATTCTTTATTTCTTTCATGATTGGATTTATGGTTATATTACAGATACTTTCATTGATCCCAGTTTGGGAAATGATTTTGTCACAGCATGGAGACAAGGCATTGCACAAAATTACATAAACAGAAACAGAAAATATATTCCTATAAAGTGTTTCCATTGAATACAAAATAGTAATACACAGATTGAAGAAAGTTAGTTATTACAGTTTTTACATAAAATGTGTGTTGTTACGCTGATACATATATAAATTAGAGCTTTTTCTTTGTGTCTTTGTGATGTTAGTTATTGGTCTCTTGCTGATCCATATCACCTTCATCACATTGGCTCTTTTGCGTGGCATGCACTTCAGTAATTATTTATCATCAAGTCGGTGTATGAATTCAACAAGATTATGCAAACAAGTGTTAACTTTGTATTTCCTCACTTGTAGAAATAAAAGTGCCATACATAGTGCCAATAGATATCGCAGTATGTACAGTAAGTGTTTCCTACTGTGAGAGTGTCCGTGGTCTTTAACCTCTTTAAATGCTTCTTTTATTGCCTCCAGTTTGACAGTGCTGTTGCCAAGGAAACAGTCACACAAGTGTTTTTTGGGCGGCAACAGCTGCCCACCGTCCCACTATGCAACACCCCCTTACACACAGATACACTCACTCACACACACGCTTTTTTTCTTCTCTCCTCATATGAGGGCAAAGTTTCCTGCCGCATATTATTTTCCTGCTAATCCATTCAAGCTAAATGAGCAGAACCGTCTCTTTGAAAGACTGCATTTCCACTGCTCTCCCCCTCGGTCCTGTCAAGGGAAAATCAGTGTGTGTGCGTCGAAACACAGGATGTGGTAGGATACTGTACAGTATGCTGGCTGAGCCGGCTCTGCAGAAACTCTGAGTGCTGCTGGAGTTTTGATTTCATGGCTGTAATGTTCAGGATTTGGAGCAGCATCTGAGGATATGGACTGCTTTCTACTTAACAAGAAACGGGTATGTGTGATTTTAAAAGTCGGTTTCAAAAGAGAGGTTTGCAGCCTCATAAGAAGTGTTTAAGATAGTCTGTGGAGTTTCATCTGCAATATATTCATTTTATTAGTCTAGGTAGTGTTGTATAATTCAGGATACTGGCCATAACTTATAGTAGTATATTTAGCACTTTTCACAGTAATCAGAGCAATCAAATCGTATTATGATGATATGTTGACCCAGAAGCAGCATGACATTGAGAAAATGAAATGTGACTTCTTTGAATTAAGCCCAAGTTTAATGTTTTTTAAAGGAACAGAGGTTGCTTGTCAGGACACTGTGGTCTCACACTCAAACATTGCCTTCCAACATGCATAACAGCAGATGTTCATTAACCTGTGTGGCCAAAGGTGGACCTGCTGTTGTGTGTTTGAGTGTTTGGGTGTATGTGCGAGTGTGTGTGTGCGTACCGGAAAGCCCCACTGCGTGTGTAAATGAATCTGAAGACTGCACAACTGCCACTTGTGTTTCTCCTGTTGTCACATTCCCGGGATGCCTGCTGCCAACAGCTGCAGCCGGCTCCTGCACGAAGGCTTCAGCATTAGTCCTCTTCGTGTTATAGGTGTATTATCAGGGATCCACGGCAGATTATATTAGGGTTTAATTTAGAAGATAAATGATGGAACAAGCTCTCTTTAGTCTTACCCATGAATCACTAGACAGGGGTCAGATAAAAAAGAAACTGGCGAGCATGTAATCATGTTGGACCTGGACTTCTCTTTAGTTAAAATAAATGACCTCTCTAGGTGTAATTTATTTGAAAAGTCAGTTTTAGAACACACTGCCTCTAAATATATCTTAAAGGTCTTGCTGCTACAGCTCCCAAACATAAATCAATGTGTTACCCTGTGTTTTAGTGTGTGAACAGACGAAATTAGTGACAGAATAAAGTATAATTTAAGGTCAGTAAGTCAGTGTATTTATGTAGGCATTAACCAGCAACTCTGCAGGCAAGTCTTAACACGTGAGCACTAAAAATATCATGAACGTTGACTAACAGAGGGTGTGGTATCCCTTTTTAAATGTTCTTATATTTAAAATACATTTGTGGTTTGGAGAATAGTTTGATCAAGTTATGTGTGTATAACTAAAGCTCTTCTAATGTTCCCAGCAATAAGTCAGTGTTTTTCAGCAATATATAATTTAACAAAAACATTTCATTTCTGTACATAGGAATAATGTGTGTGTAAAACATTGACCTGGTTTTGAAAATGTGGCAGTTTGTTAATTTGCATGAATCAGAAATGGAAAAGAGGGTAAATATATTTGGCATCTGTCAAGTCAGGCATCACTGATTAATGCAGGCCTTGTTTAAATTATAATTGGTATAACACAGGAGGTTACATGTATTTCTTATTTACTTACTTCCTAAATAGTGCACTGTTATCCTTAGCACATGGTGAATACTCACTAGTATTAGTGCACTTAATTGTATGGATCTGGGACACATAATGCCGGCTTTTCTCAAAACACAGACCCTTTTTATCTCCATATAGCGAGTCTCAGAGGGTCTATCTTAATCTAGTGTTGGTAAAACAGAAAGGACCAGTGACAACAGAAAATCTAAAGCCCTCTAAATCTCATTAAAGTGCAAAAGGAAACGTCTCTGAAAAACAGTATTTGAAGCAGGAGACACAAAAATGCTATCTAGTATCTCGTAGGAAAATCCCTTTCCTAACACATGGGCAGTGGTCCCAGGGGTGGCGCTACTTGAAGGGATTTGACGCAAAGCTAGGGGATAACATCGCCTTTGATGCCATGCTAGTGGAGCGAAGAACCCCCCGCCTGGAACAAGTCCAAAAAGTCTAGTCTGTGTATGTGTGTGTAATTATGAGTGGTCAAGGGAGAGAGAAAAACTCCAGGGTAGCATGACTCAAGATAGAATACTTCACCCCCCCCCTCCCCCCAACACAATCACACACACCCTCTTACTAATGGTCTTAATTGGCCATTCCACCGAGGTTTGCAACCCAAACGGACAAAAAGACTAGAGAGGGGCAGCTGTCTCTCATAGCATATGTTGACCACTTGTATGACAGACTGGCTTATTTCTGTGTAAATGGAGACGGGCTTACCACTTTAGCTCATCTCAGCCCATCAGTAGCACTAAGAAGATTGAGCCGCAGCTGAGGTTGCCAACCATGCTGGTAAGTCTGAATGAGGCCTTTTCAGAGTGCCAGTGATGGAAGTGTAAGGGCTTATGTGTGCATGTGTGTGTGTGTGTGTGTGTGTGTGTGTGTGTGTGTGTGTATATGTGTGTACCTGCACATTCTTTGGTATAATGGTCTTTTTGTCAGTATACCCAGTACTGATATATATGAAGCTTTGCACTGAGCCCAAAGCAGCGCACTGGTTCCACTGTGTCTGTACCCGCTGTGCTGAATCAGGCTGTGTGTTTGGGATGTTAGCGAACACAAACCACAAAACTTCATGGCTTGGCGGCAAAACGGCACCGGGCATCAGGACCGGTATAACCACGTCTATGGAGGCTGAAACAAGAAGCGATAGACTTGTTTTATTTCCCCTCTGTCAGCACATGGAAGATTTCTGAAGCTTCAGCGGGGCTAGTGGTGAGGTGGTGTGTCTGTGTGTTCGCTATGTGAGTGATTTTGCAGTTAAACTCTGAAAGTCTGTCTCTGTGTGTCTGTGTTAAGAACATTGCTGTACAGTATTACTGGCGCTTCATGCTTTGGCTCCAAACACCCTCTATTGTAGCCAAGAGCTCGAGGCTTGTTGGTCTGCATCTTACCAGAGTTTCAGTCCGGGTCCAGAATTTAGGTTTTGGTTTATCTGCCAATGGCAGGTAAACAGAAAGAATTATACAGCCAAAATATTACTTGGCTGGCCAAAAACTGCATACAATTAAAATAAACCTTACTTGGGGAAAACACTTCAGCTTATTGTATTTGTGTTCATAACAAATAAATAATAATCCCTGGTTACTTTTTTATCTGTGAACACAACTTTACAGCACATTTTCTTTTAACCTTTCAGCCTGCTCTTTATTCTTCTTTTTTGATTGATCTACTCCAGGAATGTGCCGCCAAATACTTGACTTGCTTTGCAGAAGTGAACATGTCCTGTGTGCTACCACCAGTATCTTTAGTTAACCAGCCTGTTAGCTTAACAATATGTAGTTTAAACGGAGTAATGATCGACAGTGAGGGTCAATCAAAGAACTGCGATGCCATTATTGTTATACGTTACATGCCGCCGCCAGTGGGCAGAATCAATACAACACAAAATGTGGTTGATCAACTTATGTGTTGGAGTGATGTGAGTTTATACTCAAGTAGACCAAATTCAGCATCATGCCCATGGTGTCTGATTTGATTTATTTTATTCCCCAATGCAATACTTCAAATTCAACGGTATTGTATCAACATGAAATCATATATCAAGGTTTGATACACCAAGCCGGTCTCACAGTCTGCGTACAAATGACACGACTTTGCAAAGGCGTGCAATAGATACGCAGAAGTCCGATGTTGCGTGCATATGATACGCTGATATTTCACCTCAAACATTAAAACAAGAGGCTTGATCGCCGTTCCAATGACAGTTTTAATGTTTGCGGTGCAAGAAACGACACAGCAGCTTATTGGGTTATGGTTATGGTTAGAGTTAAATAAATGGCAAATATATGTAGAAAATAAACGCATTTAAGATACGTTCATAACAAACGTAACGTGGGAGTATCATATGCACGCAAAATCGGACTTCTACGTATCTATTGCACGCCTTTTCAAAGTCGTGTCATTTGTACGCAGACTGAAGAGAGTGGGCTGGATACACAGTTAGCAACATTTGAGATACAGTATGAAGTTACCAATTTTGGGATAACAGATTCCAGCCACAACATTCAAATTTTAATACATTTTGAATTGTGATTATTTAGTTTTTGTCCAAATGAAAGATTCCAATTCAAACTAAGCTAAGTAAGTTTCATCCAACTAAATAAATGTGTCATTCAAATTGATATTGGACATTTTCAACCATGATACCTTCAAATGACCAGGCCTAATTTCTTTGCTGAGGTTTTTTTTACTGAAGGGCGTTACCATACATTCAGACATGTCTGCCAGTCTGTCTGTGTCAGTCTCATTACGTCTCCCCACCCGGTCCCACTGGGTCCCAGAGGGTTGTGTTCTAGAGACGCCCATCAGAGTGCAGCAGGGGGAGAGGAAGCCCCTCGTGTAAACACAAAGTGCTTTGAATTGGTTTAAGTAGACAACTCCAAGTGGCTTAACAATCCTTGTTTTCAAGAAAGAACGATCAGCTCCTGGTGCCATTCAGTTCACTTTTATTCATTGGAGATTCCATACTAGGCTCTACAATTGAGCTACAGCAAGGATCATCACGCCAGCTGAATCTCTAACTTCATTTAAATGATAACATATCTTTTCAAAACACTGGTTGATGCAGTTCCATCATAATAATGTCCCCCCAACATTGACAGTTTAAATCATATTAGTGGAGATTTTCCTTGATACCTTTTGAGTGTGTGGTCTCCTTTCACAATTCAAACTTTACTTACAGTATACTTAAGCATAGATGCTCAACGTCGCCTGGTTTTCATTGTCAGTCCATCTTTAGGATGTCTTCAGTAAGTCCATTTTGATGTGACAAAGCTTTGGACAATGGACAAAAACACACTGCTGCTGCAGATTGATGCTGTGCTGTGTATCATGTTCCTGAACGTTCTACAAGTACTAACCCCTACATGCGGACTTTAACCTGTTAAGCCCCAAGCCTGTTTTTCAGGTCTCAGGCTCGAAAATGACATTCCCAGAACAAATGACTATATCTTTACTTCTAAAAGGGGTACATTAATAACCTTTGTTCTCAAAGCAATGATACACCTATGAGTTGGATGTAGAAGAGTCAGAATCAATATAGATGTTTTTATTTTAAAGTAAATTCAGATTGAACATAGTAAACAAAATTCCGTCCAAAAGAAACCCATTACTTATAGTGAAAACCCTTGAGTGATGGGATAGTAGACTAATAGCTTTAGGAAAGGGTAACATATTGTCCCTAGACCCTCCATTTTTGAGTTCCTTTAAAAGGTTCTTACATCCGAAGTAAACTTCCTGGGGTATAAAAGACTGTCAGAAAAATCCGTAAAAAAAAGAAAATAATTGAAACTAGGGAGGCAGAGAAACCCGCCTTATTTCATTGTCCTCTCTCTTGTCTGAAAACCAATTTCTCCCAACAAGTGACACAATGGCATAAAAGTTTTCACTCTGCAGTTGTATTAGAGAGGCTTAAATCTGAAGTAAATGCCAGTCACAACCTTGTTGAGACATTTTCACAGTGCAATAAAAGCAAGGTCTCTGCAGGCCATGGCAAAACGTGCCCCGCTGTTCCAAATGGATGGAAGTTAAGGGAGATAACTGGGTAAAGTGAAACGAGTTTTGAGTGAAAATTAGCTAATGCCATGCAGCCCTCTGGTGTGTTTGCTGCTGTGGACACCGCTTCTATCCCATTGCCCAGAATGCCGCTGTGCCAATTTACCTCTCAACATTTGTTGCTCCTCGCCTGCAGTCTCAGTTGAGATACTGTAGTTATGCCAGAGCTCCAGGTAGACCCACCAGGGAGACCTCTATCTTCTCTCTTTGTACCCAGGAGAGGCAGCAGGGGGGAGTGGGGCGAAACGCCGAGGGGAGGAGGAGGACAGACTGAGCCCAGCTGTTGGCTTATTTACCCACCAAAATCTCCCTCCTTCCTTCTATCCCTTTGGCTTCCTGCTTCTTTTTCCTTTTTTAACATGAGTGTTGCAGTACTTCTGTGCATATAAGGTACACACCACCCCCACACACACACATAAAGTGTCTCACCCTTTCTCTGTGTTGTCCCTCTCCTGACAGGCGAACAAAGACCCCCTGTTTCTGACAGGAGTGACCTTCCCGTCAGAGTATCCTGCCAGCCCGGAGACACTAGTCAAGCTAACTGTGTATGATGCAAAGGACAAGAGCCAGGAATCAGTGAGTAAACAATTGTGTGTTGCATATTGAAAATATACTGTGTGTGTGTGTGTGTGTGTGTGTGTGTGTGTGTGTGTGTGTGTGTGTGTGTGTGTGTGTGTGTGTGTGTGTGTGTGTGTGTGTGTGTGTGTGTGTGAGAGATGATAATGAGAATGTTTTTAGAGCCCGCCATGAAGTTGTCATCCTTCATGCGTTGGATGGAGCTTTAAACTTTACAGGGGGTGAACATGAAAAGCTGCGAGAAATCCTCAGCAGAATCTCATTATGTTTATAAATATCCTACAGATTTCAGAGATGCTGATTTATAACAGGCACTGAATTATAGTACTCTCTGGGATATCAATAATTTAAGGCAGTCTGAGTCCAAACCCTTGAGTCTTGGAGCATTCAAGCCGGGCAGCCCATCCTTTAGTGTTGATCCCATGGGAAAATCCGCCGGCACATCAGTGGGAATGCCAGACATGGTATTCTGAATGGGTGGGCCCTGTGATTCAGACGTTTTTAAACAGACGTTATAACAGGCTCTCCAGTGTGGGTGTATACGCGTGATCCTAATCAAACGGCCCACAACCCAGGGCACCAAGATCTTAATTTGGCATCACTTACTATGAAACATTCATGAGCGTTACGGTGAGTAAGGACTCCTTCATTGCAGCTGTTAGTATTTGAAAATGGATCACATTAAGGCCTCTGTTTTAACGCCGGTACAGAGTAAGCTGTGGTGTCTTGAACCAAGGTGGGTGGGTTGTGCAAATTGGTGTTTGCTTTGGCCTGCAACTGTGTTGTTTTTTTCCACCTGCTGAGACAGTTCCTTTATGCAGACCCAACAGCGAGGTGTTATGCAGTCAAACAGTCTGACTATCTTCATTCATCGCTTTCATCTTCAGATATCGCACCAAGCTTGACTTAAATGAAGACAAGCTTGTATGTTTTTCTAAGTCAAAGACTGGTTTACCACTCTGTACAAATTCTGTCTTCATACATTTCAACCATCATGAATACAGAAAGCTTTATCTCTTCAAGATCCGTCCTGAGCTCCATCAAACTTCTTGTTTTGTTTAAGCACCTCCAAAAAACATTTCCTCTGGACAATTCAAATTACATTTGTTTCTATGGGATTATTATGAGGAGCGGTAAATTCATACAATCAGAATAAGTTTAACCTGTGTTCTTCTCAGTAGAGGCTTTTCACCTGGGCTACCATTTATTTATCCGAGTACAGACTGTAAATTGGTAGCCTCAATTTACTAATAGGTTTGTATTTATTTTGCGCAAAATATAAGTGTATTTACAGAAAGCCATCTCAACAGACCAGACTTTCTCCTTGAAGGATGAAGTCAATTTCACCGGCTCCAAGTAGCGATACATTCATTTGATAATAAGCTTGCAAGGCCACATTAGTTTCAACTTGGTAGCTGCCAACTGACAGTAACTCAACAACAAAACGCAAAAAGTGAAGCTCAATTAAAGACTCCCTTTCCATGGCCTTCTGCAACCAAGGTGTCCTACGCAGGTGGCGTCTGGAATGAATGACTTGGCCTTGTGCATTTAATTATTTAATTTGTGCCCGGAGATCGATCAAAACATAGACATACTTTTATTAAATCAAGGCCAAGAAATGTATAATGTATTTGCACAAATTCAATAGTGGCCTGGAAATATGTTTTGTTCCCTCTATGGCTTCTGCAGGCATCCTGTCTCTTGGTATTAACAAAAAAAGATGGGAGTAGATGGAGGCTAATACAAACTCCACCTGCTGATAATTTATCTTTCCAACTAGTTATACATTCAGCCTGCTGCAGCTTCTTTCCAGATTGTGCAGCACTGTGCCAGGGTACCATCATTTGCCAAATGTTACAAAATGGTTGTGAGCTTGTTCACTGAGTTTGCTGCTGCTTTAGCACCCAGTGTCATTTCAACAGATGATCAGTTTACTTTTATTTGAATTTCAATTACTGTATAGCACGCCATGTTTTTGCTTGTCTGTGGAATGGCATTATCTTTAGTGCCTCGCTGTATAGACATTCATCTGTTGCCTCTTCAGCCTTGAAACACAATCCCAGATGGAATTTGCTTGAAATGGAAACACAATGGTTTATTCTGAGGTGTGTATTGAATATTCATGTCGAACAACACCCATGTGAGCTCCACACTGTATAAACTCTCAATCCAATCCCCACCTCCTCCTCCTGTGCGTTGCCACCAGAGGTTTGACTGAACAGAGGCTGGGCAAGCTAATGCCTACATATAAAAATATTTTACTGGTGCCTGGTAAAATATTCAACTGCTATATTCAAGTACAGCTATATTAAAACAGGCAGTTTTCGTATTTAGGAGCTTCTGTTAACACTATGATAATACGGACTAAATGCAATATTTGGTAAATGCTAAATATGTGAAAATATCTGAATAATAAGTTATTTGGTGCTGCACGGTCCCCAACGGTATTCTACAGATTTCATGAAAAATGATTGTTTAGTAAAGATCCTCTCAAAATCCCTATAATCATTTTAATATATATTTATGTCAATAATGTTTCAATAATGAGTCTTCAACATGTTGCAGTTTGCAATATGGTTCAATATAATCTAAATTAGTTGTTTTTTGCATATTGTGGAGCCCTATCTACTGTAACGTATAGACACTGGATTAAATACTTTTTGAACTGCTTTTGAATTTGGACATGTTTAATGTCTCTCCATTTTTCATCCTGTCCTTCACTCTGTCTCGCTGTGAGTGATATATCTCAGTGGCTCCTGACAGTCTGTCATAAATATATCTTATATAAAACGCAGCATTTCACTCAAGCTTGACTTTTAATCTTAAAACTGAATAAACAGCCTTACCGGACAGTCACTGGTGAGCCTTTTTAACTCTCTTCTACACAATTTTACATTAGATACATCCAACTTTCTGTGATAATTTAAAAAAGAAAAATGTCGGATCAGGAGATTCTGTTGTGTTTTTTTTATTTTTATATAAAATCTTCACTGTCTCTTTCTCTCATTACACCTGATGTAGTGGCCTTTCAATACCTTTTTTCTTTGCACTAGTGTTCTCATACTGTGGCTTTCAGATTTTCGGCTCTGGTCGGCTGGACACTGTGTGCCTGTCTGGGTCTCATTAGAGACTCTTTAAGTGACACTAGCATGACCCTGAACATGAGCTGGCACAATGCGTCCGCCTCCAAATGCTTAAGTGGCAGAATCACTCAGCCAAGGCTCAGTCATTTAATTTAGCTTCTGAGACAGAGAAAGCAAGCATGGGGGGAGTTTGCTATGTTTGCGTGTGTGTGTGTGTGTGTGTGTGTGTGTGTGTGTGTGTGTGTGTGTGTGTGTGTGTGTGTGTGTGTGTGTGTGTGTGTGTGTGTAGCTGCACACACTCACATGTGAGCCTGATGGCAAACAGCATTGGTAATCCTGTGTGTGGGTGCCAGCACACTGTAAAGTCATGCGATTCATCCTGCAGTTTGTCAATTGAAAGACATTTAATAAAGCATGTTATGACATCTGTCTAAGCAAGGCTGTGTGCAAACAGTAAAGGGCAGCCCTGCCTGTGCAGCAGTCTGCCTCCTTACTCTGTTGATGGAGGTAATGACACATTGCTTTTCTCCTCCTCTCCTCACCCAGGAGGACTGAAAAGTAAATGAGAGTTGGGCAGAGGGGTTCTTGTTGCTGCTTTGTTGTTCTGTTCTGTTGGCGTAGATGGAATGATATGATAACCAGCCAACATTGTTTCCCCCTCTGCACACACAAAGAGGGTGGGAAGCCTTTAAACATCTCAGAGACATTTTTTCCCTCCCTTGGAAATACAAATGTATTTGTTTTGATCTTATCTCAATTTTTCTTTTTTTTAACAATCTCATGTCCTATTCATAAGTGTACACAAAAAACCTGAATATATTCATCTGCTATCATAGCCGCCAAGGACACATTCTACTTTCACATAAACACTATATTTAGTTCAAAAGGCTCTTTTGTTGATGTTGTTCCACATCAACTGGCAAATATGTCATTTAGGCAACTAATATGGCTGTGGTGTGCTGAGGAAGAAACACAGCTAGCGGCTGTTGCACCTCTCCCACTGTTTCCTTCATCTTGTTGTTTACTGAGTCAAGGTGGTGCGAGCCATCTGAAATCACATCTTCTGTACAGACACACTTGTCCCACAGGAGAGGTAGGGGCAAGAGAAGCTCCCACACAATGTGCGCTGTTCAAAATACACTTAGAGGCTCAACCTTTGCACACTCACAATTGAGGTTGTGCAGTCTCTCGTTGCCATCCATGTACAAATGATGTCAAATATAGCTTGCAGTTACATGACCTACACATAACACAAATAAACATGCACACCTTCACTCATAAACACTTTGATAAAACTTTATAGCGTTTATAGTGAACATACTGTAGCTATTACCTACCAATCCATTGGAGAAATGTTGCCTGAAGGAATGTCCACCCACACAGAGCATTGACCCCCATCTGCTACAACTGGAAATGTAGTAAAATCTACAATTTGCAGTATTTGTATCTCACTTTGAGATTTCTTATTTTTTATACCGTGTATTATTTTATTTTATTTAACCAGATAAAAGAGCATTGAGATAAAATCTCATTTACAATGCTGACCTGCCCAAGAAGGCAGCAACGTTACACATAACACAAACATATAAAATACAGAGAACATAACTAAGAAAAGAAAAGACGAAAAGCAGTCACTACATTGAGCACATTAGGACAGTAAGAAAGGTACACCACTTATTACTGCAAGAGCAGCTGGTGGTAAGGACTTCAGACAACTTCAATTTGTATCTCACTTTGGGATTTCCAACATGGATGTCCAGCCAGAATGCAGTGCAGTTTGGATGTGGCGGTGGTTCACAGTGAAGTCATGGAGGAGTCGACTCTCAATATAACGGGGCATCAATCCCTGTCTGCCTGCCTGTCTTGGCTGTTAACCACCTCCGGGCTGCACCATTGATCCCCGTAATTGTCTCCCACTCTTCAAAGAGAGCAGAGAGTTGGTTTGATCCGAGCTGTTTACTTTCACAGCCCCTATAGCCTTGCTCTCAGAAGAAGAGAGCTATCAACCACTTCAGGCACGAGCTAGCATATTATAGCGCTATTACTGTGCGAGTGTTTGTGTTGGGTTGTGTTTGTGTTAGGGGAAGAACGCGTGATAGAGAGAGACCCAGCATAGCCTGTAGCCTTACCGGCCTGGGGGCGAGCTAGCAGCTTATTGCTGTTACATAAGAGCAGGGAATTGCATCCTGCACATTCCCTAGCATCTATCCATGGGTATTAAAGGGAACGTGCTACCAAACTCTGTGCTGTGAGCTGTTATTGAAATGTTGCCTTAAAACTTCTTAATAATGTTACTAGCAAGATAGCTTATGTGATATGTCTAACAGGATGTTGTTCTTAACATGTTTTGTTGGTGATTAAAGGATAAAGTGCATACCCTTTCACTCTGCGTGCAACTTCTTTCCGTTGCTGCACTTGTGGGCCTTCACTTGAACCACACACTCAGAGAAGGGGAAGCTGCTAACCACAGCCTCTGCCAGCTGATAGCAGCTTGCAGTAAGTAGCTGATAAAAAACACTTGCATTTGTGAAGCGTATGATCATATTGATCCATCTCATCTGCTGACAGACAGAGAAAAAAGGTCTATAAAAATGCAACTATCAGAAAGGGCTTCAAATTTGGCATGCTGCTATTTTAATGTAGTACAGGTCAATATATGGGATTAATCCGCTGTGCAGGCTTTGGACCTGCTACCAAGTCATGTTTACAGACTGTGAGCAAAGGAGCCTTGGTTTTTATCACCTAGTATGCAGTGGGGTTAGCTGTTAAAGTTTATAGACCAACGGAGAGTGTAGGGGAAGGCATTGCTAATGTATTTCCAGTACCAAGGCCAACATGCAAGTTTATTTTTCTCTTATTGTTGCTGCAGCTCTTTCTTTGACATTGACATAAGAATCTGACTTCCTACGTGTTATTACTCAATGACATTCTTATCATTCTCAGTGCCCTGTGCAGTACTCAAAGAATCTGTCGGAAGTAGAAAAAACCCTTTGTTCCCAGAGGAACCAAAACATGATTAAGTAAGCAACAGCAGGGATAGAGTCAGAAAAGAGTGGTAGGAAGAGCTTTTTGGTTTTGGGGGCAAGCATTGACAAGCTGAAGAATGTTTGTGAGAGCAAGTATGGACACTTAGTCTGCATCACTGTTATTCTGTCCTCAGTAATAGAGAATCCCATATGCTCAGGAAACAGAAACAGCTTTGTGAGGAAGAGGGATATTCATTTGTCCCCTGCTCTTTGACGCTACATGGCTCTATAGATATTTTTGAACGTGCAGAAGAAGGAATCCTAAAAGGAGTTTCCCCTGGCTCTCAGCTGTCAGTCTTTAAGTGAGTATTTACTTTTCAGTACAGCCTTATTTTAGCGCTTATAAAGTCTGAGTCAGCTATACAATATCATCATAGTTCCTGTAGTTTTAGCACGGAAAGTGTGTCACCTTACATGTTTTTCATAAGCAGAATATATAACATTACAGAAGATATATGTTCAGCTCACTAAACAAATTCAACTACTAAAGACTTGACAGAAAGCTGCATCTTTCCCTTCACTTCATTCGGTTCAAAGTGTTTGAATGACGTGTGAAGATGTCGGATTGTTTTTGAAAATAATCTGATTAAAAATAAACATGTATAGTCTAATTTGCTATGACAGAAATGGCACACTCGAATGACTGATTAATTAATTAAATGGAAAAAATATATCAGACGAGATACATTATGACATAATATGCTGCCGTTATGATTGACTTTTTTTCTCATTGTCGGCCATTTTTCAGAACAATGCGCTGTATTCCTCAACAGCTGACTAATTATACTACCAAATGCGTTAAGTGCTGACAAAGCTGCACCATTTTAACACCACTCTGATATTAAAATATTGATTTAGTTTTTCATCGTAATGCACAGTAATGTATTCCTTGTTGTTGTTTCTCACAGTCCACTACATCATTTAGTTAAGATATGGATTTTTCTTAAACCCTCCATGCGTCCTCCAAAGCGAGATAAGAATAATCACAGAATTACGTGAGCACAAAAGTTAAGTCACGGAAAGCTATGCCAATTAAGAGCCCACTTTCATGATTTTACACCCAATAATCTTTCGAGAGTAGAAAGAGATTCAAGTTTAGCTTTCGTTTTGATCAAAACCAGACCCAGAAGGCATTTATGTCCCGTTTCAGTTTCGTGTTTGTACAGCGAGTCATACTTTTAGTTTAACAGTAGGTGCATTTTGTGCCTTTGATACATTTCAAAAGTTATTCATGAAGGAGACAAAAATAGTACAAACGATTAATAAGGCATGCAATGGGACAACACACCAGAAGAGCACATCAAAGTGTTTTGTATCTCGGTACGAATCAGTTTCATTATTAAACTCAGATAAGTCTGCCTCTTTACTTAGAGTGCACGCGCATTGCCTCAGGACCAGGGCGAGTGAGATGAAACACAAAGTACACAGCATCACTTCACAGGTTAGACTGGGAACAATTAAAATGCCCTTATTTGCTGATAATATCGAACGGACCAATACATATATACCTGCTGTGTTAGCCCACATAATTAACAACCCTTATTTAATTATGATTTGCGAAGACCTGTCTTAAAGAGACTTTTAGAAAATATGAAACACTTTCAGATGAGTGCATTTGTAAGCTTTTTCCATTGATATCATTAGTCCAAAGATAAACAGAGCTGCCTGTAAAAGTGAAACATTGAATACTTCCATTAAAGCATCGGAAAACCCCATAAAATGACTCCATAACCAGACACGCATTACACCATTAATACTTAGAGTAATTTGCTCGCCTACATTAAGGCTACAAACTAGGGCTGCTCGATTATGGCAAAAATCATAATCTCGATTATTTGGGTCAATAATTGATATCACGATTATTAAAAACGATTATCCATTTACTTTGAAAACATCAATTTATTGGAGAAAAAAATGTGAACTGTATGTTTTTAACAGTTGATTACCCTACTCTTTAAGTATAATTCAACTGAAAAAAAATAATAATAAAAAAAAAAAAAATAAAATAAATAATCGTT